AAAAGCATTGCAACACAGAAATACTTAGCACATTTCTTAGTGGTTACCTTGAGGAGAAAGCCTTATAAGGAGATGGGGTCTTACTTCTCCTCCTGTTCATGGAGTACATGTCATTAACGAACTTTAATTGAACCTTGGACTTTTGACATCTTGTGGTTAGGCACTGGCTTCCTGTTTCTTTTACAAGTTGCAACTCTGCCTATGTGGCTTTTAATATAGAAGTAAAGGGGCTCTAAGAGGCTGTCCAGCCTGACCCAGTAGGTTTCAAACTTAATGTCCAAATCTCACTTTACGTCTGCTTTATTATTGTTTTAGACAACTTAACAAAATGAAGAAGCTTTTCAAATAAATGCTTGATCTGGAGAGGCCCAGTGCTATTGTATTTTCTTTTAAATAGCAGAGAATAATGTATACTTCCAGAAAGCACATCAATTTTAACAGCATCTGTACAAGTATAGTCTGAAATGTAACACCTCAAACAGTGTATACCTTCTGTACTGTTTGCTGTTTGTTGAAAGGAGGAAAATTGCTGGGAGGCAGAGGCAGATTTTTTCCCCCCTTGTTTTCCTCCCCAAAAGCTAGGTCCGTCTTATACTTCGGAGCACCTTATATTCCGAAAAATACGGTAAGCCCCTTCCTGGCCCAACAATCCCCACTCCCACTAACTCATGCCCTTGTCACTTCATATCTTGACTATTACAATACGTTCTACATGGGGCTGCTCTTGAAGAGCATCTGGAAGCTCCACTTGGTGCAAAACGCAGCAGCTCACGTGGTTTTGTGCAGACCCCGGTGTGCACGTGTATCACCTCCCACGCAGCAGCTGCATTGGCTGCCAATTCGCTTCCGGGTGCAATTCAAGGTTCTGGTTGTCACCTTGAAAGCCCTTCATGGCTTGGGACCGTCTATTACTGGTTACATCTTCCCGACCCACCAGAGTGGGGAGGCAGGGATTGTTGCATTTCTCATTGCCTAGAAAGATACACCTGGTAAGACCCAGAAGAAGGGCCTTCTCCGTGGTGGCTCCCTTTCTCTGGAACATCATTCCTCCCCCCCCCTCCCCCGGAGATTAGACTGGTCCCCCACTCTAGTAATCTTCTGGAAGGCATTGAAGACCTGGCTCTGCCAGCAGGCCTGGAGAACCTAGAGAGGGGATGGAGCCTATTAAATGGCTCCTCTAAGGTGCTGTCAATGGGGCGGGGAGTGGGGTGATCTTATTATTTTAATGTATTATATAATTCTCCTTTTATTGGTTTTATTGTTTTAATATGGGTTTTATACACGTCGCCTTCAGTCGCCATGTGCGAATAGGCAGCATATCGATTGTCTAAAATAAATAAATAAAGTATTTTGTTAATTATTTCTTTTGATATTATTTATTCCTTACAGAGAAACAAAGAATGAAATTTTCTGGTTTTTATGACGGCGATCAAGCAGCGGTTGAACCTCCAAATCAAGTAAGAAATGGAAAAGTTATTAGATTTGTATTCTCATCTTCAGGAAGTGAAGTGGGCGTGCAGAATGCTCTCTCCTTCTATTTCCCCCCTTGTTTGGACTGGATAATTTTTGTTTCCTTCCAAAACATGGACAGCAGAATAGCAGGTTGAAGTGGCTGTCAGCCAACATCGCTTCCTCTGGTTGTCTTGTTCTGCAAGGTGCTGCTCTACTAACTTTGCGTTTCCAAGAAGCACTTCTTTTAAACTCCTTCAAGAATTAGGAATAAATATAACACGGTGGCAGGAACTGCCAGACCCCTGTTCTTTTTGTAATTCATTGACATCATATGGTACAGATTAACAGAGTTGGAAGGTCACCTAGTCTGACCCCCCTACACCATTTCTGACAGTTGGCAGTCTTGTCTCTTCTTGAAAGTCCCAGTGATGAAGCTCCCACAACTTCCAAAGGAAATTTCTGTTCCATTAGTTGATTGCTTTCACTGTCAGAAAATGTCTCCTTATTTCCAGGTTGAATCTCTCCTTGTTCGGCTTCCATCCATTATTCCTTGCCTGACCTTCAGGTGCTTTGGAAAATAGCTTGACCCTCTCCACTCTTAGGCAGCCCCTCAAATATTGGAACGCTGCTATCATGTCTCCCCTGGTCCTTCTCTTCACTAGACTAGCCATGCCCAGTTCCTGCAACCATTCATCATATGTTTTAACTTCCAGTCCCCTAATCATCTTGTTTGCTCTTCTCTGCACTCTTTCTAGTCTCAAGACCTTTTGTACATCATGGCAACCAATACTGCAATGTTTCCAAGGCATTATAAAGTGGTACTAACACTTCATGTGGTCTTGATTCTATCACTCTCTTAAAGCCTATGATTCTGTTTTTGTTTTTGGCAACTGTAGCACACTGCTGGCTCATGTTTAAGCGATTGTCCACTAGGACTCCAAAATCCCTGTTCCACTTACTACTTTTTGTGCCAGGTATCCCCTATTCTATACCCACTTGGTTTTTCTCTCCTAAATGTAGCACATGACAATTCTCACCAGTGAATTTCATTTCGTTAGAAGGTACCAATCTGTCGATCCTTCTATATCTCCAGCCTATCTTGTGGAGTGTTGTTATTCCTGTCAATTTGGTCTTGACTGCAAATTTGAGGAGTTCCCCTTCTATCCCCTTGTCTAAATCATTGATGAAGATGGACAGACCTTGTGAATCTTCCTGTTCTGTTCTTTTTTCCATGTTCAGGAGAGTCTTGTGTCGTTCGAGGAGGTGGCTGTGTATTTCTCTGAGGAGGAATGGTCTCAGCTGGATCCTGACCAGAAAGCGCTGCATTCGGAAGTCATGCTTGAAAACCATAGGAACGTGGTCTCTCTGGGTAAGAGTTTTCTAGTCCCCAATCAGAGACTTCAAGAAGACAGATTATAGTTACTTTTTATTAAAAAATTACTAAACATATATCGTCTCCTGGAGAGGAAAAGGAAAGTATCTGGCCTTCTGGTACTCCAAGGAAGGAAAGAGTCAATGTCTCTTTGCTTAGATGCTTTTGGGCCATTTCCTATCTGTATTCTTCCATTTCTCTTTGAACTTATCTGTGGAGGCTGAGAAGAATGGGACATGATTTTCAGTGTCTTCTGGAGGTCCTGTGAGAAGAATGTGTTGTTATTTGTCCTCTGAAAGCTCCCCAAATTGTATGAGAACCAAACTTTCACTCTCAGGCCATGGAAGAGCATTCTCCCAATCCAATTCAAGAACAACGACCTCATGAAGTGTGACTCCGAGCATCTTAGGGTACAGGTGATCCCTGAGTTATGACGGTTCACTAAGTAACCGTTGTAAGTTACAACCTAGTCCTCTCCCAAGTTCTTAAGACTCAGTCCTGAATTTGCTAATGTTACAGCACCACAATCGCCATTCACACTTACAAATGACAGCAGAGACGTTGCAACAACAATCACCATTCCTGTACCCCCACTCCACCCTACTGGGACCTACGTTACGAGGATTTAGCGAGCCATCGGTTCCTTTGCCTGCCTGGCTGCATTTGCAGAAAAAATAAGCCTAAGCATAGTGAGAGATACGTAAGATCAATAGTGGGAAATCTGGCACTATTGATCTGATATGATCTCGCACTACAGTACTTTAGGCCTCTGCTAACTAAGGCCTGCATGAGATCCAGGGCAAAATGCTTTGTCAAAAAGCGAAGGCCTCTTTGTTTTCAAAGACTTTTGCCCTGGATCTTGTGCACTGTTCAGTTTATAGGGAACATAGGCCTAAAGTACTGCGATGCGAGATCATTAGTAAGAGATCTTGCACTTCTGGTCTTGTGTGATCTCGCAGTAAAGTCATTTAGGCCTCTGTTCTCTGCAAACGGAAGCCTGTACCAGATCCGGCCAAAGAGCCCTTGCAAGCCAATGAGACTTTGGGACAGTTAAATAGCCATTCTTGAAGCCTCCCAACCTTTGCAGTCTCAGCGCAAAGAGCGTTTATAGGCCAATGGGAGGCTTCAAGGGATTTTGCTTCTAAGTTGCATCACCGGGGTCAAGGAACAAGCCGAGTGGGAGTTCTGCCCTCCAGACGGACACTGTGGAGCAGCTGCTCCAAGGTACACTGTGGAGGAAGGAGCTTGTTTCAAAACTGTTTCGGTTCTCACAACTCTCTGCTGAAATTAAACCACCCCAATAAATCTTAAGTTTTCTCCTTATTCCACCTTGGATGTTTCCCCTGATTATTCTTTAACTCAAAACAGATTTTGATTGAGATTTCTAGATATGAAGATATAAAGAAAGATGTTTTCTAGATATTTTTGAAGCTTTCATGACTCATGAATATAGAAATCATGTCTATATCATGCCACTGTAAGCATGCAAACATAAAACATAATGGAATTTCACAAAAATTCAGAAAGAAATTCATTTGACTTTGTACAGTTTGATCTTTTTCTCTAACCTTGTTATTATTTTCATTTCTCTTTTGCTTTGAAGGTAATAATGGGCAGGAGGATCAAGATTCCTGTGAACTGTTCCAAGTGATCAATGGTAAAGATGGAATGGAGACGTTTGGAATTCGAATGGAATTAAAAACCCATGACAGAAACCAGTCAAATGATTGGAATCAGGAAAGCTCATCTTCCACCAATGCTCCAATGCAAGACTTTCTTGCTGAACAGGAGAAAATAAGGAAAAAAATTATTGGGAAAAGTGTGAAGCGAATCAAAGCTAAATTACAAGTAAAAGAACACTCTTTAAGCCAAAACAAAGGAGAAGATGCCATAGGAAGACATAACGGACAAAATTGCAATGGGACACTCATTCCCTCTCTTGGAAATAAGTCCCTCACATCTCAAAAAGTAATTGACAGAAAAAAGAAACCTTACAAATGTTTGGAATGTGGAACATTTTATAGAACAAGCAGGCAACTTACTTCCCACGAAAGATTTCACACTGGGGAGAAGGTATACAAATGCAGAGAGTCTGGTAATGGGTTCAGCAGAGTTAGTAATCTTATTTCCCATAAAGGGATCCAGTCAGGAGAGAAACCGTATAAATGCATGGAGTGTGGAAAGACCTTTGCTCAAAGAGGTAATCTTATTCGCCATAAGATGATCCACACAGGGGAGAAGCCATTCAAATGCATGGAGTGTGAAAAGACCTTTGCTCTAAAAGGTAATCTTATTCGCCATAAGACGATCCACACAGGGGAGAATCCATATAAATGCATGGAGTGTGGAAAGACCTTTGCTCAAAGAGGGAATCTTATTCACCATAGGACAATCCACAAAAGGAATATACTGTATAAATGCATGGAATGTGGAAAGACCTTTGCTTGCAGCAGTAAATTTACTATCCACAATAGAGTCCACACAGGGGAAAAGCCATTTAAATGCACAGAGTGTGGAAAGAGCTTTGCTCAAAAAATTCAACTTATTTTACATAAGTTCATCCACACAGAGAAAAAGCCATATAAATGCATGGAGTGCGGAAAGACATTTGCTCGAGGATATCATCTTAATTGCCATAAGAGGATCCACACTGGGGAGAAACCATATAAATGCATGGAATGTGGAAAGTCCTTTGCTGACAAGAAAAACCTAAGAAGACACAAAAGGCTCCACACAGGGGAGAAGCCTTATGAATGCATGGAGTGTGGAAAGACCTTTGCTGAAAAAAGTCATCTTAATTCCCATAAGATAAGCCACACAGGGGAGAAACCATATAAATGCATGAATTGTGGAAAGACATTTTCTCGTAAATATGGTCTTACCTGCCATAACACAATCCACACAGGAGAGAAGCAATATAAATGCATGGAATGTGGAAAGACCTTTTCTCGAAGAGGTAATCTTATTCGCCATAAGAGGATCCACACAGTGGAGAAGCTGTATAAATGCAGGCAATGTGGAAAAACCTTTGCTTATAGCAATGACCTAAGAATACACAAAGAGATCCATACAGGAAAGAAGCAATTTAAATGCATGGAGTGTGGAAAGACCTTTGCTCGAAGAGATCATCTTATTTCCCATAATATGTCCCACACAGGTGAGAAGCCATATAAATGCCAGGAGTGTGGAAAGACTTTTGCGCACAAAAGCACATTTGCTATTCACAAAAGGCTCCACACAGGGGAGAAACCTTATACATGCATGGAGTGTGGAAAGACCTTTGCTCTAAGAGGTTATCTTATTCGCCATAAGATGATCCACACAGAGGAGAAGCCGTATGAATGCATGGAGTGTGGAAAGACCTTTGCTGTAAGTTGTTACCTTATTCGCCATAAGACGATCCACACAGGGGAGAAGCCGTATCAATGCATGGAGTGTGGAAAGACATTTGCTCAGAAAGGTAATCTATCTTCTCATAAAAGGATCCACGCTCTGGCTTAACTATATAGCAATAGCAATTCCACTTAGACTTCTATACCATTCCACAATGCTTTAAAGCACTTTGCACAGTTTACAAAATCAGCATATGCTCTCCAGCAGTCTGGATCCTCATTTTACCCACCACAGAAAGACGAAAGCTGAATCAACCATGACCCTGTCAGAATCAAACTCCTGGCTATGGACAATTAGCCTGTAGTACTGCATTCTAACTACTGACCCACCATGTCTCTAAAGATTTTTATCTGTATGCATATTGTGCCTTTCGGATCCCAATGAGACAAGGTTGAATTCAACAAAATGAAATTTAATGTGGAGAAAAGTAACATTTTACACATAGGCAGGAAAATATATATTACCTGAAACCTGGCTCAAAAATAGTAACTGTGAAAGTGTCCTTGGAGTCTGAATGGATGATCACTTAAGCATGAATCACCTGTGTACAGCAGCAGGCAAAAAAGTGAATGCAATCCTTGGTTGTGCAAACAGAGGAATAGAATCAAAATCACATGAAGTATTAGTATCACTTCATAAAACCTTAGTAGGACAACACTTGGAATACTGCATCCAGTTTGGATTATCACATTAACAAAAAAGATGTTGAAACTTTGGAAAAAGTGCAATGAAGAGCATCTAAGCTGATTAAAGGCCTGAAGACTAAAACAAGAACGGTTACAGGAACTGGGCATGGCTAGTCTAGTGAAGAGAAGGACCAAGGGAGACAGAATAGCTGTGTTGCAATATTTGGGGAGTTGGCACAGAGAGGAGGGGGTCAAGCTATTTTCCAAGGCGCCTGAAGACCAGACAAGAAATATTGGATAGAAACTGATTGATGAGAAATTCAACCTATCTGAAACTGACAGAACAATCAACCAATGGAACAGCTTGCATTCCGAGGTTGTGGGAGCTTCATCACTGGTACCTTTCAAAAAGAGATTGGATTGCTGGTGTAGAAATGGTGTAGTGTCTCTTGCTTGGGTGGAGGGTTTACTAGACGAACTACAAGTGCCTTCTACCTTGGTTAATCTAATTTCTATTTTTTCCCAAACCACCAAGGGCAAGATAAGAAACAATGGATGGAAATTAATCAAGGAGAGAAGCAACCTTGTAGTTTCTTACAGTGAGGATAATTAACTAGTGGAACAGTTTGCCTTCAGATAGCATGGGTGCTCCATCACTGGATATTTTTAAGAAGAGACTCGACAGTCGCATGTCTCAAATGATATAGGATCTCCTTGAGCTGGACTAGAAGAGCTCCAGGTTTCCTTCCAGTTCTATTCTGATTTTGA